TCTATCAACCTGATATGCGTGTTTAATATTTCATAATACCTTCTATGTATTTTCTGTGTGTGCAGAATCATGAATGTATAGCGAGATATTATTTTTGGGTTGCCATTATGAAATTAATTATATCGTGGAGTGAGAAATTGTACATAACATGACCATCATAATAATATTAATTTTTATGGTCAATTAAACCGTATTATTAGAAAATAAATACACCTATAATATACTTAAAATCTCCTCCCATTCATTAAAAAGGACAACAAAATGCCGACTGTTTAAGTATAAAAAATAATAAAAATATATTTAATTATTTATTAATTTAATTATACAATAATTGTTGTAATTAGGCTTAGATATTACCATTTTAAGTGATGGTGGGTACATGATAAATATTTTAATGTATTAAAATAACAGCCGTGAAAAATTTTGCTTTATTTAAATGTAAATTGTACTACTCTAATGCATAATTATTTTTTTATAGTACCGGCTTTTAGATTTTCCTGTCATACATTTAAAATTATAGAGTTACATCAATCAAATAAATTTAAATATAGAGATTATAATTGTGTCAAGTTAAGTTAATCACAAGCCGATTGTACAAGATATTTTCTAAAACTAAAAATTAATTTTTTGAGCCTACGTCAAAATGTAGATCGTATAAGAGAAAGTTGTTTATTATATAATTTTTTATAAATTTTATATTATATAATTCTCTTGAAAATAAAACTAAGTAATCGACATAAATTTAAAATTAGATATATTTTTTATTACACTATAATATAAATGTGTTTTTATATTATAAATTCGTGTAGTCGACTATTAGCCGACAAAATTGTTTCATGAAAACTAAATAGTATAATTATTTTATTTTCTTACTTGTATATAGTAAGGACTAAGAAGCATAATATTTTAGAGATCGTCCCGAACTATGCGCATAATATTATAGACGTACTCTTTTCGGGATTGATTGAAAATGAAATATTATGCCGACCACGTTTAAATGGATCACTCTGTGTATTGTGCGTTGCAATATATATTGTATAGTCGTTGAATGTGGCATGTACATGTTTACCATTCTAGTCATCTGTCTGTAGCATTCCAGCCTGTCTGGATGTATAGGAAGGAAACACATAAAAAGAGTTTAAAAAACTACTACCACGAATATGTAGCCACGAAACTCGTTTCGGCGGCTGTTCTATGCCAATGATTAAAAAATTGGACACGTATTCACTCCTTGTAGAGGTTATATACCTGTTCATCGACTGCCGTTAAATACCCGTTATTTGTAATTTTTTTTACAGTATGTGCACGTGTGGTGTAATATACTTGTAAACTGGTTTTATTTTTTTTTACTATTACATTTTTCCTCGTATTTTTCTATAAAAAGCTTCTGCCATCCGTTGTAGGTCGTTGCCCATAATGTCTATTGTCGTACGTATTATATAATATTATTATAATGTGTACCTACCTGTCGTCGTATTTTGTCTTGTGTGTCTATATAGAGTTTCAAAAATGTTCTAGTTTTTATGTTCATTCCATGCAACGTATTATAGGTAATACATGTGATTGGCTGAGGACTTTTTTTTTCGTAAGCTGACAATATCGTATTTTTTTGGTTTGTTTGTTTATAATGGAGTATATTATTATATATATTGTTTGGAAATTTCAAATGTATTGGAAATTGCTCGTTGTCAAGTTGAAAGGAATGTATCATCTTCTTACGGTTTTGTTGTGTCGTTTTTTGCTATCGGTCTATTACTTCGAAATCCTTAACTTGTTCTTCTAGTTTTTTATGTTAACAGCATATCTAGGTATACCACGTTTAACTACTATTTACCACTTCTCTACTTTAAATTGTGTTTAACAAATTTCGTTAACATCCCAGTCATTTTTTTTAGGATTTGGCCGCATTAAATGTATGTAAGATATTTGGTAATCATCGTAGACTTGTAGAGTATTTTGAGTATTACATAATATAATTATTAGCTTTTGACTGATCTAGTTTTGCTATAATTACTTCCACAGCAATTATGTTTGAATTTGTGAATTGTTGTATAGCTAGATCGATGTCATGTATTTGAAGTTTTGTTTTTATAACTGTTCTAATTTGGATTTTTCAAAATTGTTTTTTGCAATATTCGTTGGTTAAGTATTTTCGTAAAACTAGTCCTTTAATCATGAAAAATAATTGCCAACTTACCAAATTGATTAATTTTAGCTAGCAAACTAAAATTTTATTCTTGAATATTTACGAGTTAAAGGCGAATTGCGATACTAATAAATGCCTATTTAAATCAAATTCGTCATAACTGAGATATTAGTTAGTTGACCGGCAAGAATATAGATTATTAATTATTCTTATACAATAAAGACACAATTCCTATTTCCTAAAAATAAAATCACCTTACAAAGTTGTAATTTTAATTTAAAAAAATCCGTTCTATACGTACGTTTGCCTAAAAAAAGCCAAAAACTCATAAAATTGTTCATTAGGGATCCATCAAGCAATAATAACGTAATTTATAAATTAAAAAATGATAACTATCGTAACAATAATGACATTGTGCATAATAATTGTGGTGTCATATCCGTGTTGCAATAAAATTCAATGTTTATGTTACGGGGTAACTGATTATTAGTTAATAATATTTTTATAGATAACGATTATTCGTGTTGCAATAGTGCACACTACGTAGGTACATGGAACTTGGTTGACGCGTAACTTTGAAAATATAGAATGCCTTAAAAGTACAGTACAAAGTACAAACAAATAAGTATATAGAATTTAATGTACTAATATTTGTATAGGAAAATACGCAATTAGTTTGTGTTATAAGTAATGCTGAACTGCCCAACAACGGTATCTAGTTGATTGTTGAACATAATATAGTAAAAACAAATCTAATGTTTTAAATTCTAATATCTATCATTCGTAGGAATCCGCATTACACAATAATAATATGTAATAATTACATCTTGGAAAATGCTAGCAATATAGTCAAAATTTAATTCGATGCTGCTTGTTTCTTTTCGGATTTCTTAAAATATTTAAAACATTTTGGATTTCTTCCAAGCTATGGATATTTTTTTGCAGATCTCTTCGGATTAGTCGAGGTGGTGGCTTGTGAATAGTGCTCATAGTATTATGATCATTCTAGTTCGATGTTATTTTATTTCGTTTTTGTTTTTATTGTATTTGATGATTCAATTTTACCGGATGGTTTATCTCCCCGTACTTGTTACACTGATGTAATAAAAAACTTTTAGGTATAATATTATTGTGGTCGTGGGTCGACTGATAAAATATAGAAACGAAACATTTTACTGGTGTTCCGATGATTTTGCGCGTTATCAGAAAGCTATGTCGAAAACACGTGATAGGAGACGGTTTGAGAACATACACGTGTTGATTCGTCGGCTGATAAACTCGTCTTACTGGTTTATTTTTTGTTCGCATAACTATAGAGGTTTTAACTTTTAGTAATGCATGAAAAAATTTAGCTTTTTTCGAAAAAAAAAAATGGGAACCAGCTAATTTTTTATGATAGTAAAAAATGTCGTGCACCTTGGCTATAAATTAAATTACATTTTTATAATGAAACAAAATGTTTAATTTATGCATTATTAACAAACGTGTAGGCGTATAAAAGTGCGTTCCACTAGAAGTGACTATATAGTGAGGAACATAATATTATGCCGGTATGCTGGTGGGGGACAGACAAGTTTTTGAATTCAATAGGCCAGCTCAGTGTAATAATATTGAAATATTCTCATTTCTCTCGTTGAACCACACTACGACGGTTTAGACGGCAGACGCTAAGGTCCGTCCGATTAGATAATAATATAATGCATTCAGTAAGTATGAACTCGGTATCAAAAACACGATGTTCTTTTATCTGCCATTTATTCGTCTACATAATATTGTGTCTTGTGTGCATTTTATGAAGTTTATAAATTCACGCCAATTTTTTTATGATAATATTTCTTGTCGTAAATTCATAACATCTGATTGATCAGAAATTGTTTTTATAAAAAATTGAATCAAACTAAAGCTTGAATTAAGTAATTATTTTTGATCTCTATATATAAATACTTATGTATACCTTTGTATAATATGGCTATTTGTCATTAATAAAAACAAAGAAACATACTTGTGATTCCAAATATTTGACATTAAGTATTTTTAATTCAATACGTCATCTGCCTTGACAGACGTAATTTTGTTGTATGATTGATCTTTTATTTCTAGTCGAACACACAATTTTTTTTTCAAAACTATTAATGACTATGCATTTGATAGAACGCATCGTTTGACTATACACGAGTAACACGACTGTAACATAATAATATATTCATAAATATTGTTTAGAATAAAATGAACTCTATTGAACCATTACTAAAACAGTAAAACGACCATGAAATCTAGAACATTTGGTGTCGATTATTTAGTATAATACTACTTTATCCGTGCGACATTCGCGTTTTATAGCATGAAATAACAACTGTTTATGACGAGGATTAAATCACTTTTATTTTAAGTATCTATGCATAGGTTAAAACACATTTTCTTTTAACTGATATAGTGCGGTCTATACATATTTCGAGTGTAGAAAAATAATTGCACTCTATTATATTTACAAAATAATTAGCACCTTTGTGATAAAAATCACAAATTATTAATTATGAAAATTATTAAAACTCCAATTAATATTTAATATCCAATTACCGATACGATTTTCACTATTTTATTGAAATAAATACGTACCGCTAGAGTCTGGGATGTAAAAAACAAATGTAAATAATATTTATGTATAATAACATATTATGTACATGCAAATTATATTTTAATATACGTATTTAGTCGTCTGCGAGTGATAAAAATAGTACCTAATTAATTATTTATATCATTACGTTACATCAGATGAAAAGTTATTACAGTCATAATAATATTTTTGTATTTGTTCATTTTTCAGGTCCTATATTGAATCTCATACATTATTAAGATGGGAGTACAAATGAGAACGAAGACCGAAGAAACGGCTGAGCCTCTGATCGAAAATAACAACAAGGATGGCGTGGAAGAACCTCTGAAGCCACAACCTCCACAAAAACGTGAAATATTGTGGGCCACAGCTATATATTTAACCACTTGGCACGTGTTAGCTGTTATCTGTACGATACTTTACTGGAAGAATGTCAAAGTGGCTACCATCTTATGGAGTAAGTGCAATATTATTATATCTGATTTTTTTTTTCAATTTTATCATAATTTAGCTTATAGTAAAACATGTACCTACTATAAAGCTCAATCTAAAAAAAAAAAAATGTTGAATTCCAATTTGTAAATTTAACATTATTTTTTTATTATTAGGTCTCCTTGTTGGTTTCATTGGTCAATTTGGCGTAACTGCTGGTGTACACAGATGTTACTCTCACAGAGCGTACAAAGCCAAGTATCCTTTGCAAATCATTCTTCTGGCTTGCTATTCAGTTGCTGGACAGGTAAATAATATATAATATTATACTATTTATTTATTATGTTAAATATAATTATACTGTTTTATTTGTATTACAGTACAGAGTAACAGATTGGGTTCATGACCATAGATTGCACCATAAATTCAGTGACACTGATGGTGATCCCCATAATGCTAAACGAGGATTGTTCTTCTCTCATATTGGTTGGTTGATGCAACGTGGACACCCAGAAGTATTCCGTCGTAGCAAAACCATTGATATGACTGATATAGATAACAACCCCTTAGTTCAATTTCACACAAAGTACATTTAACATTTTAATAATTTATACGACTTGAAAAGATTAATTATTTTATCCTCTCTTTTTTTTCATAGATATTATTGGTTTTTCAAAATAACTTTTTGTTTCGTATTGCCTGTACTTGTACCCATATTCTTTTGGAATGAAAGCTGGATGGAAGCAATTGGAATTAGTGGAGTATTGCGGTTCGTGATTTTCACCAACATGACATTTTCAATCAATAGCTTGGCTCACTTCTGGGGAACAAAACCATATGACACGTAATTAACTTATTTAGCTCATGATTGTGTTGTACCGTTTCTAACTGAATATAATATGTTTTTATATGTATTTTGTAGGCGCATAAGACCTGTTCAGAACATGGCTTTGGCTATATTGACTACTGGTGAAGGCTGGCATAACTATCACCACGCATTCCCATGGGACTACCGGGCAGAAGAATATGGTGGAAACTTTACCAACCCAACTACCATTGTCTTGGATTTCTTTAAAAAAATTGGATGGGCATACGACTGCAAAACACCATCAGCAGATCTCGTCAGACAAACGGCTACCAAGCACGGAGATGGAAGTTGGAGCGAAGTACCAGTTGAGGAATGCAAATAGATTATTATCAACACTAATGCATTTTTCTAAATAATTATAAGACTTCATAAACTTTTAAATGCCTTCATAGAATGTTATTTAATATCTAAAATTGTGAAGACTAGAATACATTTATGTTGTACACCTATGAAATGATAATAACTGCAATGGCATTCAGTATTTTGATAGTTTTTGGTTTTACTTTAAATTTTGGTGTAATTTTATAGATTTTTTTTTGTGAATATTAGCAATACGATTGGGTAACAACATATTAGTATAACTTTACACATATTTATATATACAAACACACACACATATTGATACACACAACACACACACACACATATATATACATCTATATATACACAGTATAACACATTTCACATACTAATGTACATAGTACAGTCAATTTTGGCTACATTTCTTTTGTGTCTTGCACATAACAAAAACAAAATGGATCTTAAAGATTTTTAAATATTTAAATAAATATGTATATGGTGGTCATTGAAACAAAATAGCATATTGTGCTAATAATGCTCAAACATTAGTACCCAATCGTATTACATTGTCCAAAACTTAGATAAGTATTGAATAAAATTATTTATTATAAACATTTGGTAAATCGGTTGCAACTGTCCAATGACGGATCAATATTCCCAACGAGCTTATGATTACGGCATCAACTAATATTACAACGAATGCAAGTGTGTGTATATGTATGGATAGAAGGTATGAATGTGATATTGAAACGTCTATAGATAGATGGAAATTTGTGAGATATTTCACTTTCTTTAAAATATACAGGTTACCATCATAACACGATGATTCCTTAATCTAGACGTATCAATATTGACTGGTTTCGTACCATTTGCATAGGTTGATGAATAGACAGCTAGACAGCTAGACTACTATTAAATTATAAAATAAAATTTTAATCCAGCCTAATATCTATAATGTGCTATATATAGGCACCGATTACCGGAATAGCTATCACATGAACACATACACATACTTGTACACATAATGTTAGCCGTTAGTCCCTTTATAAGAGTAGGTGTAGGAAATTTTGTTTGTGATTTTCTATTGTTTTATCATTATGGTAATGAATATTATTAATGATAGTAGAAGTAAAACAAAGAACTGAAATAAACAAAATTTTACTTACAATTAATAATAATATTAAAAAAATTAAAATAAACACATTGTTTTAAATAAATAATTAAAACATTATGAACAAGTGCTGATGCATATGTATTTTAAATAATAGTTTCCATTTGATACTACTGGTCTAACGACTATTTCATATAATATAATTATATTACAAACAAAGGGCTGGTGGATTCAATTTATCTTATATAGGATGGGATATATTATTATGATCTGAAAATATAAAAATAAAAATGTAAAAAAAAAAGTGTATAAAAATTATTATTTATGGAAATATTCTTGTAGCCTAATTGATATTCTGCGATACATTTTAAACTGTAATAGAATAATAAATTTAAATAGATACGGATAGACTGACCAATGTTGTTAAACCGTTTACAAATTATAAGTGAAATCACAAATAAAAATTCTTGTTTTATGAATGGTTGGAAATGTGGACCATATAATCATCACCATTTGGTTTTTAATATTTTTATAACTTATAAGTCGTGAAAATTGCCAAAAAATGCAAATGCCTCAACTCTTTTCATATTGAATTTGTACATAAAGTCATATTATTAAAGTTTTAATACTTTATATTTATTAATATTGGCTTGATATTTAATATTTTTTAGTATCTTAAGGTAAAGTGGAGTAAGTGATTCGATTGATACTTTACTATTAAATAAAAATGTAGTTTGAGCTTCATTGATTGTATTGTTTTATTATATAGTCAATATATAGTTGAAATTTCTTGTTGAGATTGTATATTTGATTCATCTTATGCTCTGTCATCAGAGTTTGAGTGTATCACAGTTCCAGAACTCTAAAAACCACAAGTCCACATCATAGAATACCAAGACCACATCTTGGAGATGTGCAACTGTAGTACCTACTTACAAAGTTCAAAACATGAAAGCGTATTTTAATATACCTACCTAATATTAGTGTCAACATTAAAAATGTGTGTTTACGTTTCGTTTGTTTTAGTTTTGAAAAACATAATCGGATCGTGTATTAAGTTGTTTAAAGGTTGTATCTTACCTGTTCAAAGTGATCGAGTGAAATGAAAAAAAATATATATATTGATATGAAAATTACAAAAAAAATTTTGGAGCAAAAACCAAAACCATATTATACGTGTCTGGTCCAAGAGTCTCTCTCTCACTCTAACAAGTGCATAAGATCTTTCGGTTATTTATGAGTTATGACGTGTTCAACTGTTATATTTGTCGAACGCTGCCGTTATTGGTGTTTTGTAATAATTAATATTTATTTAAGTATGTTCGTGCGTCGGAATAAAATCGAAATATTTGGTACAAAGATGATACTATATTACTATGTTTAAAAAACATCGGCTACAAGGTCAAAAACTGACTTGGATAATCTAGGCAATCCGGAGCCGAGTAAATTTCATCACCTACTAAATTCATACTCTAAGATTGGCCTGGTGAATATAATATATTATAGGTGAAGGCGCTACAAGTACAAGTTATCAGGGTTCTTATTATTCACTTGACGAAATCCAAAAAATAATGGCTTATTAATAACCGTAGGTACAACGTGTCTGGCAGTGTTGTAAAAAATACTTTTAAAAAGTATTTGAGTAATTACTCAAATACTTATCAAATAAAGTATTTAAAATACCACCCAAATACTATCTATTGTAAAGTATTTGAGTATTACTCAAATACTTTTTAGAAGTATTTGAAATAATTTTCAAATACAAAACAAAAAAATACGTACGTATACGACATACCTTACCTACCTAATGTTCGTATTATATTTCGCTATGATAATATACTATATTGGTAGGTAGTAGGTACCGAAACGTACCGTTCCAATCGTCGTCGAGTGTCGACGATAAACAGACGGTTTCTCAGAGTAACTAATATTAATTAGCTATTAATAGACGAAAACTAAAACCAATATAGAATTGTTCATAAATGATAAATATATATTATAATATTATTAAGACATTATTATTATTTGACAATGAATAAAAAGTTGAAGGAATAAAAAAAGTATTCAATAAAATAGTATTCAATAGTAAAAAAATGTATTTAAAATACCGTTCAAATACTTCAAAAATAAAAGTATTTGAAAAAGTATTCAATACGGAAAAAAGTATTTGAATACTTTTACTCAAATACTTTTACTCAAATACTTTACAACACTGGTGTCTGGTATCTATTCTCCAGTAGTCACGGATTCATTTTTTAAAACTAATGCTAATGATATATACCTATATAAGGAAAAAAATTATTACTATGAATATGTAATGACATTTTAATAATGCCAGTTCCAATGAAGCATTACAATTTTTTTATTGAATTTTTTGTAGTTATATCCAACCTCCTCTCCTACCTAATAATAATAGGTAAATGTACGCTATTCCCACCTATGACTATACAGTATATGTATATTATATCTACGACGTGTATTAGGTACCTATCTATACCTAACTGTTTTAATATTCCTTACTATACCCCATTGAGTCGAGCGTGAGAAGTTAGGACTGTGTCCGCAGTCCGCATTCAAACAACATACAAATGTGTCATTTACATACGTAATTATAATCATTCGACTAATTAGACACTAGTGGAGAGATGTACCGGTACCTAATATAAATATTAAAATTTCATAAAAATAAAATTATAGTGATCTAATCTACGTGGCTATGAGTACCTACATATTATTGTACTAGGTAGTAGGTACACATTGCTACAGTCATAGGTGGAAATCCATTACAATTTCAGGGAGGCTAACATTATTAGTATCAATGTGAGCCCCGTCGCTTCGATCCTACCAAACTAAAAAAAGAGGGGGCTCGACAGGCTTTTGTGGGGGTTAAGGGCTAATCCTCCCCCCCGATTTTCACCAAAGTAACAGTAGCTTTATGTATTACTGCATTATAGGTATATATTATATAGTTTTGTCGGATGCGAGTTTGATATTTTGCTAACGCATTTGATTTAAAAAATATAAAACAAATGGCCCCGAGGGTGTCCTGAGCGGAAGTCTATTGGAAGCTACATCCCTGCCTACTCACAGTTTTCATTAAGTGACGCGCCAGAACAAAAATATGATTTACCATTTTAAAATTATATTATATTTCAAAACTCAACAACGGTCCCAAAACTAGAAAAAAAATGTTCTCTCACAATTTGAAATCTTTTTTCAGTAAGATTTACGTATACTGAAAAACAATTAAAATAGACATTATTATTTGTACTTTAAAAACATGAAGTGCCGGGTGTGCCTGGGCACTCTCGAAATTTGGTAATTGGGCTTCCAAAAATTTGAGTCCCGTTTAAGATTTGGGGCAGTATTTTAACTGATTTTATTAGAATGAAATATAATATAACTTATTATATGGTTATAACAGCTAGATGTTATTTACTGCAAAAGCACAAATAATAAATATATATATTGCAATCATCTTAAATGTTAAACCCAAGGAAAAATATAACTTGGCACTAGTAATTATATAGGTACCACTGATTAATATGTACATATGCCTTGAAGAGAGGGCCCAAAAATATTGTAGGCACTAGGCACCCACCGAAATTTAGGTCTGCGTTAACCACTAATGTGATTAAAAAATATGTGTTTTATATTATGTAGGTTACTGCATGTAGGTATTATGGGAATGGGTACCATAATATACTAGCTGTGAACTGTTAAACCATATATTTTTATCACTGTAGAGAAACCCGGGTAGGTATACGTATAATATGGATGTGCAGGCCTACGATTTTATATTACATTTTTTCTAGTTTTCTATATGCATGTAAATATAATATACATATTACATACCTAGTAGTATTAGGTATACTGTACCTATATATGGCTATATACCGTTGTTGAGTTTT